CTGGAGCTGGACTTGATGTGTGATTAAAAAAAAAAAAAAATCCAAACCAACTTAGCGAAGATAAAGGCTTCTTGAACATATGTGTTGATGGTTTGTCCCCCTCACGCCCCAGCAATGCCTCACAGGCAGTCGTGCACACTGCTGTCTAACCACGTTGCTCTTCCCAGACCCAGCGGTCGGTTGCTGTTAGCAGTGCTATCTCTGCAGACAGGCGAAGACTCAACACCAGCTTCCAGCTCCAAAGTGTCGGTTTGTGTCAGTGCAGGGACATAACACGTATGGAGCTCTGAGAAGCACTGAAAGAGAAATGGAAGGCTCTGGTAATTCTACACTTTCAAGCTATGCTAGAGCTGTTCCGTAGGCAGCATTACCTCGGATTCCTCTAGGGCATAGCTCTCTACTGATGTAAACTAGAAGAGAACTGCTCTGTGTAGTGCCCATGGAAAAGCACCGAATTTGGCCAATAATGTCTGCCTTGAAGAGGAGCTCAGCTGATGGGCAGACGCAGAGCTGCTGATACGACCTCAGCACAGCCTTTCTTCTGTAGCTATTAATGCTGGGATTGCTCAGCACACAGAACCTTTACCTGTAAAGCAAGCGAAAGCAAGGGGGGTTGGAAGCTCTGAATTCTGTTTCAGAGCAGCAAGGATAGAATTAAGATTTCGGCACAAAGCTACAGCCACACCTGAAGGATAGGTGTTGGTCATCTCTGGGCCCGGAGAATCCCAGTCTGGGAGAAGATGGGAAGACTTCAACTGGAATTAAGAAAAATCAGTAGAGCAGTAGAACTATGTGGAGTGGGGTTTTTGAGCTATTAGTGGATCGGAGGGCTCTCAAAACTGTCAGAAGCAAGTTGCAGTCAGATTTAAGTAGAGAGGCTGTTGAATGGTGTCAAAAAGACAGATCTGGTATAGTCCCAAATCCTTGAGATGCTGCTCATTTCAGATCAGAGCTGTTGCTATTTACCAGGGCAATGAGGAGAAGATAGCATTGGTTCGGATAACAAAAGGAGAGATGCTGTGAATTTCTGCGGTTTTGAGCAGGCTGGAAGGCAGGGTCGAGAGCCCCATTTTTCCCGTATCACATTCCCAGCTGGACCACGTCTCCTGGGGCCATCGGGCTCTCCCCACGGAGCAGCAGCAGGGACACCTGCCTCGGCTGGCTCCCAGCCCCCCGGCTGACACCTGTGGGGTGAGTGCTTCACACCAGGTGGCAAATTAGTCCCTGCGGTGAGTGCACAACCCCGGGCTGGTGGCTAATTAAACACCAAGCTTTCCCATGGGATGCAGCTGGCTTGATTTCTTCGATTATTTGTTTGAAATGGGTGAAAAGAATAAGCTGACACTTCACGTCTTTACACACTGCTGTCTAACCTCACAGCTTACAAACAGGCAAAGGAAATGCTCGGCAGCAGAAAGACAGGAGGGCAGCTTTTCCTAGAGGAACCAAAACCAGAAGCATCATCTTTACCGCTGTCACTGTCTCTGCCAGCAAACAGCCAGCCTTCGCAGGGCTAAAGCAGGAAAGGAAAGGGCCTCTCAAACAACACCTCATGTATTTTTGCCCTCCTAGAAGCCAGTGCAGTGCCAGATTTTAATACTGAGCCGTTTTTAAAACAAACCGATAACAGAGGAGACCGTGCCCGAGTCCTAAAAATGTGCCTCACAACAATTCTTTCCTGGAAGTCACCATCACCCCTTTCTGAAGTTACCCAGCGCAACATCACTCACTGCTCATACGCCTCGCAGTGACTTCATCAGCCAGCTGTCCTGCCCTCTCTCCTCCTCTATTATCACCAGTGGTTTTTGTCAACTGTGTTTGAATGTCTCCCATTTGTCAAATTCCTCAGTTACACCAAAACAAGGCAGAAGGAGATTCCTGGGGTATATCACTTTCTAGATGCTGATTTCAGTGCAGCAGACAGGTCCGTAATTTGAGGTTTTGGCTGCAGATGACAGAGTGTAAATGAAGAAGGGGATGCCAGCAAAATAAAGGAACTTTTCCCTTCTTCAGAAAAAATAAGACTTTTGCCATAGGCCATTACAGCATCCAGAAGCACAGATCGTTTCCTGGATATCCATTATTCCAATCTTCTCCAAGACATGGACGGTTGTGTCTTTGCAAACCCACGGGAAAGTGGATATCAAGAAGTTCAAAACTCATTTGTTTCTCTAAGAGAAGCGTAGGCATCCCTTTTCAGGTACATTTTAAAAAAAAAAAGAAAAGGGGGGAATGACTCCATTTGACAAAAACAAGTTACTCTTAGGTAGTCTTCTTTGTTCCCTCTCAATTTCTTAGCTCAAATGTTTACTATTATTTGAACTATCAATAGTAAGAGCAATGTTGCCAATCTGACTCATTACATCATTAGGAGACTTTAAAATGTTTAATGAGTTTCTTATCGAGTTAAAGACTAACAAACACAAAACAGTGGAACTTGTTATCTGAAAATCAGAAAGTGTTATTTGAAAGGCTGCTATCTGGAGACAAGCATTTTCAGACATTCCAGTTAATTTAGCAGTGTTTAAGCTAACAGTCCCAAACTAATAAGCCCCAGGGGTTGGGTCAGAAACAGACACTCAGAAGTCGCTGAGCTTTAACGACCCGCAGCATTTTCAAATACAAATCTATTTGCTGGATTCTGAAGTGTTACCACAGTAGAGCAGCCTTGTTTCATAGATGCACGTGTTATGAAAATCCACACAGCTCACCATTCCCCGAATGAAGGTAATGATTTACTGACCGCTATTAATAAGCAGATCATTGTACACAGTGTTAAGAGTCATACACTTCAACAGATACACAATACATTAAAAGAATAAGCCCACATCAAGAGAGATATTCTACTTTAGCTGTCATATACCAAAAAAACTTGAAGGACGAGGTCTATTCATGGGCCCAATCTCAAAACATGCAAGTTCAGTGGGGCTTCCTGGCCAGCACCGGCTTGCCCTCTCCTGTAAGACAGCTGAATTCCTAGCAACCTCTCCCTGGTGCATCCTAATTAGGGTTTGTATTATTATTATCAAAAGAAAAAAGGAGGGGAGGGAGAGAGGGGGGAGAGAGAGAATTAGCCACAACAAATGGACCCCGACACAATTATATTTGCACAATTACTGCCATTTCCATGGCAACACACTGCTTTGACCTCTCTCCCACCGTGCACTACTACTCAAGGAGATGGTGGGGGAGGAGGTGGAGAAAGGCACAGGCCAGCAAAGGGTTTGTCCTCCGAGTTAAAACAAGAACTACTTCCCAATAAAGAGTTTCCAATCATTAAAGGAAAATTGGGAAAACATCTGTAAAAAGCAAAACTAACTTTTCCAGAACTAAGAGGGAGCCATCTGTGTGTTTACACCTGACTACAAAACAAGGACCCGTGCCCTGGAGCACCCCGGATTTGACGACTGCACAGAGCGAGGCAGAACCGCAGCAGAGATGCACACAGAGTGTGCTGACAGCTCCGCATTCATCTTGAGGCAACAAGGAAATTCCTTGCCCTAAAGTTTCCAAAACAAAACTTTAGGTCTCTTCAAAATAAAAACATTCTTCCTTTCTACTCAATTCTTGTTCCTTCTCATGCCTCCAGCTACCACGAATCGCACAGCCAGTCCCTGCCCGGGGCAGGCACGCAAACATTCAGGACACACTGCAATTACTGTATAGATCTCATTACCTGCCAGCAGAACAATTCCCTTCAGGATCACGCCAATCAGCACAGATTTCATGGCCGACTCCTTGTGGACATTTGTGACAGTAAAGGGAAAAAAAAATGGGGGCGAACGGGGCGGAGAGGGGGGGAGGAATGACAAAAAAAAAGGCTGGACTGAAACAGCAGAATGTGTGTAAGCGCTCCCTGATGCCAGTCAGACAAAAAGGGATTGGAGATGAAACTCGCCGGTATGGAAGAG